ATATACAGTATATATATATATATATATATATATATATATATATATATATATCCATCCAGAAACGTATACACGTGGTTTAGACTGCACTCGAATTAAGCAATACCGATTCCGTGTTAATTGACGCGACTGTTTACTACGAGATCTCAACACCCCCCTCTATGAGGTTCACAAGATTGCGTAGATATGTGTTCCTTTGCATCACTGCGAAATATCCTTACGTTGTTTTCTATATTCGCTGATTAAAAAAAAATGGAAAATAATTTCATCAGATCATATACGATCGTATCCTGTACCCTGCTACTTGCCGGCCAATTTTTCTTCTGGAGAACGCACGGATCACGTACTCACCCGGAGCTCACATGTCTTCCCCGTAACGTTGCACTGGAGATTAGACGACTTTCTAGTTTTCTAATGATCCGGTAAAGCCCTCGGGATATATAACGCTTGTGTGTAAATATATATATATATATATATATTCGTGCGTTTCTCATATTCTCCCAGATTTCTGTATATGCCAAGTGGATTTACTTTTACGGTCCATATTCCTGTACGACTATAGATTCTATAATATTGCATGCTACACGTGACACACACGAAACACTATACACAGCACACCCTAACATGACCTATCGGTCTGGTCTGACAGATCGTTGCCTGTCCCCAGGAGGCACACTCCCTACTTCGGCCAACCGGACTACAGACTCTACGAGCTGAACAAGAGGTTACAGCAGCGTACAGAGGTGAGTAGAAGACAGATACGATATATAGAGTAAATATAGAATTTTGCAGAAAATTTTTTTTTTTTTTTTTTTTAATTACACGTAATCACGATAATCGCTATCCGTAACAATGAACGTGGAAAAGTTGAAAGGGGTGTCAATTTTTTTTTTCACTTCAAGAAAATCCGTGACCCTGTATTGAAAATGAAATTTTTAAACGTTCGAGTAGTCACGAAGGGTCCATTGCTCCACAGCATCCGTATCCAAGTTCCTAACATATACGTATATACCTATACGTACCGAAACCCAAACTCACCCCTGTGTATTATAAAATTATCTGACTCATAGAGCACAGGCCCGATATTATATATACCAGCTGCCGTGAATATAGTCTTCACGTGACCATCGGTCCACTTCAGAGAGATTTTCGATAAGCGATAAGATACCTTTTTAAATATGACGCAATGTAACTCTGCCGGCAGTATAGCTCTCATAGCTGCCTTTTAAACTTGCATTATATTCCTTTACGTATATACGACTTCCATTCCACTTTCGCGTATCCAGCCTATACTCAACTTCCAGTCAATTTCGTATCCGCGTAACACACGATTCCGTATGCACGGAATATACCTGGATAAAGTATAGTCAGACTTCGGTAGCCTCACTCGTATACCCGAAGCTGTCCTTCCGTATTCTACGTGGGTTCCATGCTCCCGGGACCAGATCGCCTCTAGTCGGTTTCCCATCTGTATATCTGCATATATAGATATACGAATAAAGGACGAGACTCATAGCAATGATTTTGTCGCTCCGTTGAGAAAGGGGTTGGAGGACGCGTTTATCGCGATAGTCGGGCGACGATATAGGAGAGGGGTAGGGATCCTGGTAAGTCCGGGGGGTGAAATACACAAAAATTCAAGTGTTCCACTTCAATTGCGCATTACTGTATGTTGGTCTCATAGAAATTGATCCGTGTATTACCTTAGCACCTTGTACCCAGGAAACACGTTTGTCATATTTATGTAACTTTTACATGGTTACCATATAACGACACAATTTATGTAATAGAGATGTATCTATGACAATACATATTTACTGGATATGTGCAACTCAAACAACACATATACATATATGTATATTGATATATATATTTCAAAACTGAATTCCGTATGTATGCCTCGTTTTTAAAACGATTATAAAATAACAATTACTATCTTTCCTGAGGATTCCAAATGCGAGATAATTCTTGAAACACCCTTTATTGAACGTTGCTTTACCTATACATTTTGACTCTTATTAGTTAACTGTGGTATTTTAAAAACGAGATGTGTTTATGGATCAATTTTACAGATTTCTTGTATATTCCATATATCCAGTATAGATCAACTGCAGAGATATTTTGGAAATATCATATTTTTATTACGACTAGATTTAAAAGAAAAACATGACTAGAAAAATGTGTATTATCAGGAATTGAATAATCTTGTTGTAAAACGTAAATAGTTATATCGCTATCCTCTTTGACGACTATATCACGAGTTTTTAGCAATAGAATACTTTTGTCTTAGTTTAAAAGTATTCTTTCTTTTATTCTGATGACAGTAGGTCTGTTCTCGTTACATATATTTTCTGCCTTTTTCAAAAAGTGCAGATTTTCATTGGTTACTTAAAAATATCACCCAATAAAAATTTGCACTTTTTGAACAGTGCTGAAAATGTAGGTAATAAGAACAGACCTAGTTATTACACAAATTGTAATCGTTCAATTTTTATACAGATAATAAATGATATAAAATTTATAAAATCATAGTAATTAAATTTTAGGTTTCTTGATTTTCAGTTGTACTGTGTGTGTTTGCTTCAAAATTTCAGGTTAAATGATCTTACTTTTACTATAAAAGTTCTATTATATCAAAGATAGTATATTCAATGTGTTCACTTCTTGCTGTTTTAAAAATCGTATAGTTTTCAGAACGATTATTGAATACGATTTTTATTACCTATTAATTTAACAAATGAATCAGTTTCTTGTCATGTTTTTTAAATTCTTTGATATTGGTTTTAAGCATGCCCATATTATATTCAAGACGAATAATAATGCTAATATTCGTTGAGAGTATATATGACAAAATTTAACCGCAAATATAGTTGTGAACTAATTTAATTGATTCGTTGATAATTAAATTAAAACAGAATATAAATATTTGAAATAATGTCGCTTACGATTATTTTACTGAATGCTATTTGATGCAAACTATTTTGAAGTACAAATGGAAATCCCGAAAATCAAAGTCATCAAAATACATGACTAAATTTGCGTACTTACGTGAAATAATAGTTTTAATAATTGCTTGATAAAACAACGTTCTATAACATGTACTCGTATTTATGCCAAAATTCTATCAAATCTGTATTATATTCTGTATACTGCGTACCAATATGAATACACATTATAATCCCATCAATCAATGCGAATAAGAGAATAATATAAATTTGATAACTTTATATCACTGTTCAGAATCGTACACTCCGATTATGATTAATAATTACATCCTTAATTTGACAAGGTAATGATACAAGAGAAGATACGCATATACGTTCACCATCATACAAAATATCAAAGAATTTTTACGTATTTTACTTTGGTCCTGTTTAAAACGCTGTGGGTGCCGTTGAATAATAGGACATATACGTAAAAACAGTTTAATAATTTTTAATTCACACCTTTATGAATTATACTTGACACACAAATATGCATATAGCAATGTGTTACACAAGTATGGAGCATAATTGGTGGTGAAAGACACAGAGACATCAGAAAAAATGTTAATTATAATTAGTGTGAGAGTGAATTTTATGAATATTAGATCAGTTGTGAACTGCGTTAATACATTTCATTACAGAAAATAAAAACGAATTTATAAAGACCTTCGCAAGGCAAGCAACGTGCACAGCTGAATTAGGACTTGTGTATTGATTTTTCCATCTCATAAATTCCCATCTTAAATATAAATAATTAGCAATAGCAGATATTTTATAGCTCTCCACAGTTTGATCCAATACACATTTTGCTCCCACTAATTCCGATAGAATTTTGTATTAACATTCTTTCTACCAAAGGTCTCAAAAGACACCTTTTAAAATTTTAACTCAAAATTTTTGGCTAAGGTAATCATTTTTCCCCATTTGACTCTTTGGCTTTTCTTATAATAATTGGTAAATTAATTTAGCAATATCTTTTTTCCTCACGCTCTCCTGGATCTAAAATACGCCTATGGTATATCTATTTCTGGTGTCTTTTGACACCTCAAAGATTTTATAACATTGTCTAATCTTAAATCGTTCTACACATAAATATCAACATCATAAGGCAACACCATTTTATTTTAATTGAAATTACGAAATCCCTATTGCAATTGTAAAAAAAAAATAGGCGATTTCCCGCTATAACTTTTAATCGTAGTGAATATTATGTTCAAATTTGCATTTTACTGTAAATCATTGCAGTATTAACTTCTCAAAATAATTGTGGTACGCAAGTTAAATTTTTTGAGTTAAGGTATTCTTTGTCCACAAGAAGATGGCATGTGAAATGATAGGAGGAGAGGGAGCAACGCGGGATCTCCGTTTGCTCCATCTGACACCACTCTTAGCGCTACCTCAATTTTCACCTATAGGTTCAGAAGAACACGTACTAAGACAATATGTACACATTATCATTCCACCATCTCATTGCAGTCACTATGAACAGGTTCATTTGTTTTCTTCGTCAAGCGATTGGATTAGCAGTGACAATACTTGTGACGTGAAGTAGGGATGCCAAGTAGTGGGAAATAGATGCCTTAAATGCTATCTTCTCGTAAGCGAAGAATATTTACTTTGAAGTGAGTTGAACTCAAATAAAAAATGTGAAAAAAATTGACTGAAATTGCCATTGCAGGTAAGTAGTACAAATATTTATAGCACTACTAATTATAATAATATTACCATTTTTTATTATTTTTCTGATTATCAAATAAAACCAGAATAATTAAAAACAATATATTTTTTTAACTATATTATCTATTCTAATTATTGACAGTTATTTACTTTAATTGCAAAGGTATCGACAAATACCTATTGATCAAAATAAGTATACATAAAACCGCGGTAGAACAGTGTTAAATATACACAGTGTAGTGGGTTTCAGACAGCAAGGGATCGTACGCTGAATCTTCTTGTTTGTCTTTTAAATTGGTTTTATACCTCTATCAACGTCAATTATTATCAAAACTCTTAATCAACAACACGGTTTTAAAAAAAATTTTTTTTATGGGAGGTGGAAATGCTTTTACGCGCATTGTGTGGGGCTCCTCCAGTATGGCCCTACCCATTAAAACTACCTCCCGTTATGCTGACATGAATCAACACTGGAACCGCTTTCGCATTACTTTAGGATGGTGTCATTCCTGCACCGTCATGGCGCCCTCCTTTTCCTTAAGTTAATGGTTGAGCGTATCTTCCATGCCCTCTTCGATTTTCTTTTTCCGAAGCACATCTACATATTCTGCAACGACTATCCACTTTGCAGCATCTGCGGTACTGTATTTTCAGGTGTCAGGGTAACACCCAGTGTATTGTTTACTCTCCTTCTCTCGTCCAATCACTTTGTACACTCGTAGAATGTGTGCTTAGCATCATCAATGGTGTTCTCGCAGTAGACGCACTCCGGACTGGGTTTCCTTTTGAAGCGGAAGAGGTAGGCGTTAAAATGTCCGTGGCCTGTTAGAAACTGCGTGATGTAGAAGTTTACTTCCCCATAGTGTGTGGTCAACCATGGTAGAACCTCGGGTATGAGCTGGTTTGTCCACCTTCCCACGCTTTCGTTCATCCACGACTGCTGCCAGTCACGTAGGGTCTGTGACCGTTCATGTGCCTTGACCGTACTGCGATTATTCTCTGCTCGTCTTTGTTGTACACGTTTCATTTCTTTCGCGAGTAGTACTATCAGGATTACTCCTGCGACCACCGGAGACAGTGCGGTATGCGCAGGCTACACGGAGAGCGCTCGTCCTCTGTACTGACATCAGCCGCTTACGGTACCGATCGATGTCGAGTGAATCAGCCCAAATTTTTAGCACTGTAGAGCATTATCGAATTGCACACGTTCATCATGGCTCTTCTCTTGCCTGTTCTTGGTCCTGAAATGTTCGGCATAAGCCTTGAGAGTGCCGCTACCAGCCTTGCAGCCTTATTGGCCGCACTCTAAATTTGGTTGTAGTACGTCAGCTTCTTATCGATCAGGATCCCTAGATACCTCACAACTCTCTTTGCCTCGATGCTCACCCCATTGATGTCCACACTGAAGGGCTCTTCAAATCTCCTTTTTCTTGTTAATACCACCACTTCTGTTTTTTCAGCCGCGAGCTCCAAGCTATACTGTTGGAGCCATTCACAGATTTTTCTTGTGCTTTGAGCGACTCGTTTCTTTGCTTGTGCTGGTGTTTTTGCTGTTACTACCACAGCGATGTCATCGGCAAAGGCCACGATGAATGTTCCTACAGGCATATCCATTCTCAGTATATCGTCGTAGTTGACATTCCATAAGTCCGGTCCAAGCGCTGAGCTTTGTGCGATTCCGGAGGTGATCTTCCGTCTTCGCTGGCCGTCTGTTGTGTCGTAAATTAGTTCCCTGTCGCGAAGATAGTTGCAGGCAACTCTCAATAGGTAGGCTGGCACTCGTAGCTTCTTGAGTGCTGCAATGATATCGACCCACTTCGCCGAGTTAAATGCATTCTTGAGATCTAAGGTCACTAGGATGCACACGCCTCTGGTCCTATGCGAGCCCTGCCACGCCGTTGCTGCTGTATCGACGACCTCTTGAATTGCCCCTATAGTGGACCTACCTTTGCGAAAACTGTACTGCCTGTCTGAAATGCCCTCAACTTCCTCTACTGCTGCCCGCACTCTCTCTCGTAGCAGCTTCTCGTAGATTTTGCCAGTGCAATCAATGATATATAGGGGCCTAAACGACGATGGCGTTACTGGTGGTCCCTTCCCCTTATCGAGTAGTACCAGCTTCTTATTCTTCCATCTAGAGCTGAAGGTCCCCGCCCGTAAACAAGCATTATACATGTTAAGTAACAGGTACGGATGTTCTTCAGCGACTACTTTGAGGACCTCGGACGGTATTCCATCAGGCCCTGGAGCTTTGCGATTTGCCAAGCTACTGGTAACGCCTAAGAGTTCCGATTCAGTGAAGAGTGGGATCACTCCATTTACTGTTACTGCATCGTATTCTGTTTCCGGGTGTTCTGGAAAGAGTGCTCCGACAATGTCTTCCATGGTCGCGGGGTCCTTGGGACCCTCCGGGGCTAGAAGTCCAAGCTTCTTTGTAACAATTTTGTATCCGAGCCCCCATGGGTCCTCATTCACCTCAAGGCAGAGCTCCCTCCAGCTTTGTGCCTTACTGCTTTTGATGGCTCTCGCGAGGTCCTTTTCGGCCGCCTTGTAGTGCCTTGAAGCACTTTCTGCGCTGTCATGCCTCTGCGCTCTGCGTCTAAGTTTTAGGCACACCTTTCGTAGCTTCGCTATGTTTTCTGTCCACCAGTAGGCCGGCTTTCTCTCCTAGGCATGGCTGCATTGCATCCTCTAACAATGAATTGCATTGTACTGGTAACTAGCGCCTCCGCTTCCATTTCGTTGCTAGTTGCTAGTTGCTACGTTTGCTACTCGAAGTAGTGTCCCGCCTTTGCTCAGTTCCTCACTCAGGGCCGTCCGATCTAGTTTTGCTGCGTTCCAACCCCTTGATATGGGATGCCATGATCTGGTGCTACCGTCCCTATTCCTCCTGCCAATTTCGAACCTAATGTACTGGTGGTCGCTTGCCGTGAACTCTTCAAGTACTTTGCAGATCTCTATGGCCTACGCCATTCCTGAGGTGGCTAGGGTTAAATCAATTATGGAGCCCCTTGTTCCCACTCTCCGAAAAGTAGTCACTGTTCCTGTGTTCATAATGGTCAGGTCAAGTCTGGCTGCCATCTCAACCAGGGTGGCACCTCTGGTCCCCGTCCACTCCAATCCCCATTCAACAGCTTTGGCGTTGAAGTAGCCTGCAACGACCACCTCACCTTCCATTCTCTGATTGTGTCCTCCAGAGTGCTAATCCTTTCTCTGTACATGCCGATGCGCTCGTTCGGAGAGAAATAGCAGCTTACATATGTGGTGCCGCCAAGTTTGGCCCAAACGAAGCCCTCTCCGAAACCAGAGGCGGACGAAGCCAGTTTGTTTCGTTCTCGCACCCATATTGCGGCTGTCCCTGAACTGTCCTTGTACTGGTTCTGTGTTTCCTCGTTTCGATATTGCTCGCAAATGAGAAGCAAATCTGACTTATGCTCAAAGGCTATTTGTACCAAGAGTCCTTGGGCTAGCTTTGATCGACTCAAATTTCGCTGCAGAACTACTACCATCGCGGTTTAATTGTTCTGGTTGCTGTTTGAGAGGCAACTGTTGGTTCCTGACACGTGAGCCGACAGGCTTCCGTTTTTGAAGTCTGCACACGGTAAGCAACGCGGGCTATTAGTACATGAAGATGCCTTGTGTTCGCTGACGCCACATCTCCAGCATAGGTTGCTTCTATCCGGTCCCTTGCAAGCAGATGAGCGATGGCCAAAGCCATGGCATCTATAATACCGGGTAGCCTGCTGGCTCAGTCTCACCCTGTAGTTTAACCAACCTAGTCTAATGCGTCCCTTTTCATGCATTTCTCTTGCAGCTTGAGCCTCCATATCCACAAAAGCCATTCTGCTTCCCCATCTGTTCGTTTTCGAGAGGTTGACCTTGACTTCACCCCCCCTAGCATCGCCCAGTGCGGTCCTTATGGCTTCCCTGACATCTTTTTGTTCCGACGCCCCGTCCAGGTCTTTTATCTCCAACTGTGCCCTTGGGACTAGTTGTGTGACATCGCCTGTGTCGCCGACTACTTCTCTGAGCTTGTTTTCAAACTCAGTCTTGCACTCCCACGTGGCCGCCAGCTCAACGAGTACTTCGCCTTTTCTCGTTTCGCGTATGGCCTTGACTTGTACTCCGTAGTCGTCGGGTGTGACCTTCGCACGTATGATTTTCAGTACTTCAGAGTACATTTTCCCTTCTGTTGCTCGAATTAGCAATGCCTCGGTTCGTGACCTTCTTTGTTGCCTACTCCTGTTTTTGCCAGCCTTTGCTGCACCGCTGGTGTTTTCTTGCGCTTTTTGTCCTACAATCTCTGCAGAATTATGCTCCTTTTGTTTTCACCCTCTGACCTCGGTCCACTCTGAGTCATTCTCCATCTGTGCCTTCTTTTTGGGCCTCACTTCCCCTCCAGTAACAGGACTTGGCGTACTAATTGCTGGCCTCTTCCGGCTCACACTAGCATTAGGCGTTGATCGTTGAACTGATCGTTGAAAACTAATCCTTATTGGTTGCCACTGTGGCATGGCATGTTCCGTGCTTCGACTCCACTGACTGTAGCTGTTCACATACGCTCTTCAGTGCTC